GGGCCTCACTTCACATTCAAAACCCGACACTTCGTGATTCACTAATGCGTGCTTTCTTAAGTATACTTCCTCTACCCCGAAACGAGCGGTGTACGCCTGGAGGACATGAACGTCCTTTTTGGAGATGCGACGACTGCTATGCCAACACCTGCGACACAAGCTGAGCGCGGATCGCTTATGAGTGGCGGCTCGCCAGTGCCTTCCCTTGACATCAGACGGCAGTATGGACAGTTCGGAACGGAAAGCGCCATTCCTGGTTTAGATATTGATCCACCCAACATCAGCGCCCATGGAAATTCTAAAGTAGCAGGGCTTAATTCTTCGGATGAAAGCAGCGGACGGCCTGAAGGTATTGGCGGCTGGATCTCAAATATGGTCAGTCGCCACAGAGGACCGGGACCGCAAGCGAGAAATAATCAGTATAGACGTCTGGGGCAAGAAGAGGATGAGAATGATTAGAACAAGTCCCTGGTTCTATATTCATCTCGCGCTCCTCTTTGTTTTTAGAGAGTTTGTTGCTTCTACGGTACTGTTTCTCTTCTTTCTACCTTTTGCGCTTTTTGGCGATATATTTTCACCTTCTCTTTGTCGTTTCGCCGTTGCTTCATCTCGCCATCTCTTCTCCTTTGACCAATAAGTAGGGAGATCCAGTGGCAACGAACAATCTTGCTTTGGTGCATCTACCTTGGGCGGGTAGAACTAGACGGCGTGGATTTGACGGTCAGTACGGGCTTGTTTCTTCTTCGGCGTGGTGTCCATGTCCATGTGATATAGCGGCCTGAATTTCTCCAATGTATGAGGGGTTTTATGAGATCTTGAGATTCTTGACACTTGGTTGAGGGTTATTCTGTTCTCGTCAGGGGCGGTTTCTGGTTAGGATAGAAGAGTCCCTCTTTTTTTCTCCTTTTCGTAACACGTCCACCTCTGAGGATGTCATGTCTGGACAGCTGATTTACCATCATCGTCAGTCGAAACAAAAATGAATACTACTTGTTCCCTCTGGATAGATGTTGTGCGGATAACACGTAAGCCTCACATATCCCACAGGTTCTGACAATATGACCTCTGGTTTCAGGAGGGTTTAATAGTGTATGTTGTTTCAAGTATGTGGCGAAACACAATAGAATGTCATGAGACCCGAATACTATCTAGATATAGGCAAGCCGAAGAAATTACTCTTTATTGGGGTCTTGGAGGTCTGGACTTAGAAAGCAGTGAGGTGGCCTGAGCGGGGCCGATCCGACGCCGAACCAGTTTCTCCCTGGAATTTCCAGGCCAACTATCCATTTGCATACTACATCTTGTCCTCTTCAGTCTCAGTCCACACACATCGACCCAGCTTCTACTAGCCTTTCGTTTCATGCCTACTCTAGCCACCTCTGCCTTTCGCTTCGTTTCTCTTTATTTACAAACCCTCCTTACCATTCGACCTTTCCATTTCTTATAAAATACATCTTTGATCCCCCCGAAGATCTGTCGCGGAGCTCTGTAGGCTCACGCTCATTATAATCTGGATACCAACCTCTACAATCGAGGATTGGATATGCCCGTGTACTACCTTTGAGGGTCATCTCCGCCAACTCATTCTCTTTTCTCTCAACTCCATATTTTGAAGGACTTGTTTGTATGCATTTCAATTGCCACCGGAGAGCCCTTGCAACGTGAGCACTGACTTCTCCGCATCGAGAGACCATCCACCATGGCGGAAATGGATGTCGCGTCGACTACCGGTGCCAATGTCGGCTCCGATTTGCGGCGTAGGAATGTTCACGCCACAGAGAAAGTTGATAAGCCATTCTCGTCTCGTAGCGTCGAGGACAAGGACGCGAAGTTGAGGCCTAAGGTTTGATGATCATGCTCATCCTATTCCACTTGCAAAACATCGCATCTTATCGCCAGCTAATAACCCTTCTGCTGAACAGCCCAGTTCTTTCACCTCGGTACTGGATAGTTGGGAACCTTTCATTGCGCCGATCCTGCTGACAGCCTTGGCTGTCTTCACCCGTATGTACCGCATAGGTCGCTCGAACATTGTGACTTGGGATGAAGCCCAGTACGTTACATAGCACCTTAGCCATGTGAAACTACCACAATGTCTAATTACTGTCGACCAGCTTTGGGAAATTCGGTTCACACTACTTGAAGCGAGAATTCTACTTTGACGTTCACCCGCCGCTGGGAAAGATGCTTGTTGGCTTATCTGGTCTCCTTGCTGGCTACAACGGATCCTTTGAATTCAAATCAGGAGAGAAATACCCAGAAGATGTCAACTTTACATTCATGCGTATCTTCAACGCCGCTTTCGGGGTCGTGTGCGTTCCTCTCGCTTACTACACTGCCCGAGAGCTCGGTTTCCGCAAGGCCACCGTTTGGCTAATCAGCCTGATGGTTCTGTTCGAAAACTCCTACGCGACCATTTCAAGGTTCATATTGCTTGACTCGATGTTACTTTGCTTCACCTTTACGACCACCATGTGCTGGGCTAAGTTTCATCGGTTACAGCATGCTAGCTTCTCAGTTGAGTGGTTTACCTGGCTCTTCTTGACGGGTATAAGTATCGGCTGCGTATGCAGTGTTAAATGGGTGGGTCTTTTTTGCACAGCATTAGTGGGACTCTATACAATTGAAGATCTATGGAATAAATTTGGCGACCTTAGGATGCCGAAGGTCAGTACTGAAGGGAATTCCAGAATACTGCTGTGTAGCTGACCTTGCTAACAGACAGTCCTCGTTAACCATCTACTGGTTCGCGTAGTGGGATTGATTATTATACCAGCTGTGGTATATATGCTTTCCTTTTACGTGCATTTCTGGATTCTTGAAAACAGTGGACCGGGGGACGCGCAGATGAGCTCCCTCTTTCAAGCCAATCTAAAGGGCACTGAGGTTGGAAAGGACAGCCCTCTCGAAATTGCCCTTGGCTCTAGAGTCACTCTAAAAAATATGGGTTATGGTGGAGGACTGCTACATTCTCATGTTCAAACTTATCCCGACGGTTCCAATCAGCAGCAGGTCACTTGTTACCATCACAAGGACGCAAACAACGATTGGTTCATTTATCCCAACCGCCATGACCCTGAGTATGACGCCAACGGGCCTCTCTCATTTGTTGGCGATGGCGATATCATTCGTCTTATTCATGGGCAAACGGGCCGAAACCTTCATTCGCATGCCATCCCGGCTCCTATCACCAAGTCTCAGTACGAAGTCTCCTGTTATGGTAACATCACTATTGGTGATGAAAAAGATCACTGGGCAGTGGAGGTTGTCGATGATGTCGCGTCAAAAGATCGAAGCAGGATTCGAACACTGACAACTGCTTTCCGCCTGAAACACATCGTTCTGGGCTGCTATCTGCGAGCCGGCAACGTGAACCTCCCACAATGGGGTTTTAAGCAGATTGAGACCACATGCGTCAAAGAGAATAATCCTCGCGACGTCTACACGCATTGGAATGTGGAGTCTCATTTCAATGATCGACGTAAGTTCCAACCAAGAACCTTGAGCAGTGCCCGCTCAGCGTGTCGTTCTGTTGCTGTTTTCACCCCTCAATAGCATTACCTTTCCTTCCCCCTCGAGCAGGCTAGTACCCTGGTCTGACGTGAAAGTCTCGCAGTTCCACCTGGTGATCCGGGATCGTACAAGTCCCCCTTTTTTAAGGATTTCATCCATCTGAATGTCGCCATGATGACATCAAACAACGCTCTTGTTCCTGATCCGGACAAACAAGATGACCTTGCGTCGAAATTCTGGCAATGGCCCATACTCAATGTGGGCCTTCGTATGTGCTCCTGGGATGATAACACCATTAAGTATTACCTCCTCGGGAATCCCTTTGTCTACTGGGGCAGTACAGTCAGTCTCGGGGTTTTTGGACTCTCAATATTCTGGTATCTCGCCCGCTGGCAGCGGGGTTACAAGGATCTCAATCGAGCGGATATCGATCACATCCATTATTCCGGCTTCTACCCTCTTCTCGGATGGATCCTACACTACTTCCCCTTCACAATCATGGCTCGGGTGACCTATGTTCATCATTATTATCCTGCCCTCTATTATTCCATACTTACCTTCGGTTTTTGTGTTGACTGGCTTACTCAAAAAATGAGTTCTGCGGCCCGCGGGTTGCTATATGCCTTCCTTTACATGACCGTCATTGGAATGTTTGTTCATTTCCGGGTCATTGTGTTCGGCATTGAGGGTCCTAGCCAGCAATGGGCCAATTTGGACTGGCTTAGCGGTTGGCGGATTGCAAAGTGATTGGATGTCAAGCACCTACGAAATGTCACCTTGAAAGTTCTGTATCCATTATTAATTCGTGCGCATGTATGTCAACGTGTGCCTGGCGCTACTGTTGCTATCCTTCGGAATAATTAACTCCGTATAGTACTGGATTTTCCAATGACGTCTACTTACGTGCGCCTCAGGTAGACACAATGTAGCGAAGGCTTTCCACCATCTGCAGACTAACTGTTCTGGGACAGATTTGGCCTACGATTAAGCTTTCAGCTCGTCAAGTTTAACGTTCAATCAATAACCTTCGTGCCTCAGCAGGCAGTCAGTCGTCGTATCAGCAGCTGAAATAAGCGACTAGGATAGTCGTAATGTCTACGGCCTAGTTGTTGCTAATCTACTGATCGATAACCACTGCCAGCACTATATACATCTAATATCTCAGCCTACCAAATACACCACATTATTTTGTAGCAATACCTTGATACATTATGAGCTCTATTACAATCAGTAAGTACAATTACTACTGATGCTTAGTTTCATGCTTCACCCGGGTTTCTTTCCATCTGCCTGTCTAGGCAGGGTGGCTGTTGCAGGAACAAAAAGCGTGTTACTCTGAAGGTGAAGAAAGTCGCCCAAGCATAATCGTCACTGAACTAGCAGGTAGTACAATATATAGTTGTATAGACGAGTCATGCGATGCATCACAATATACTGTATTGCCACCACGACTTGCAAGAGGGCTCAGGTAAAATGCATTTCTCAGGCTAGCAACAAGCTCCGCGCCAACCATTTCCACCACTGCGCATTGCATCATTCAAGCCTAAGGTGATGGTCTTCGGCGTTCCCGCACTTGCTCCCCCTGTAGCCCCAAAACCCTTTACGCCGCTTCGACGATCGTTCAAGTCGTACTTTCCTGCCTCGATATTGCGATAAATCATCTCAGCAACTTCAAGGAATGCGCGCTCGACGCCTTCACCGGACTTTGCACTCGTTTCAACGTAGCGAACCACATTGTTCATGCGGCACCACTCCTCTGCTTCTTGCTTGGTGACACGCCTGCGATTGACGTCGGATTCCACTTCCGCGAGATCGCTCTTGTTCCCGACCAGAATTACGACAATGCCATCTTCTGCAATTTGCCGAAGATCTTGCAGCCATTGGGTGCACGAGGTGAATGTAGAGGGACGAGTGATGTCAAAAACGAGCAGGGCCCCTGAGGCACCACGAAAATACGAGCGAGTTATCGACTTGTAAGTCTCTTGGCCCGCGGTGTCCCAGAGGGAGAGTTTCATTTTTTTCTGAGGTTGATCTCCTAGCGGTTTTCGTGGAGGGCTGGGGAGGCCCGAGGCAACAGACTCATGGGATGCAACCATAGCTGTCACCGTTGATGATGATGGCAGAGCAGAAGAATCAGAGACGTCGGAATCTACCCCCAGACTCTTTGAAGCTGGAGGCCCAACTGGAACAATGCGTGAGCCGAATTCCACTCCAATAGTAACATCATGACTGGAAGAGAAGCGTCCTTCGCAGAGTCGAATGGTCAACTTTACGACAACACACAGGTCAGCACAATCTTGTTCGAGTTTCCACATACGAACTTGTAAACAGGCTTGAAACACTCACACTGGACTTTCCAGTGCCGGAATCTCCAATACAGACAAGCTTAGCGATGTAATCCCATGGCTGTGACATGGATACAAAAGACGTTGAGTCTGGGGTGTAACCAATGCTCTATGTTATCAGTTATCAGATGGTTGCCAATGTTAATTTGATATATTTCAACTCATACTCCAATGCCTCCCGCAAGAGAGCCACATCGGTATGCTAGAATTTCTTGTTATGGATGCTTCGATGAGGAGGTACATGGGATCTGTTTGACTTTGTACCCCCGAATGTACGGAGCATGGTCCTGATGAACACCTGCTGAGTCAGCTCCAGTGTGACCCTGCCATATGACGCGTGTGTTCAGATCATCCATTATTTCTGAACACATGCTTCACACAAGACAAAGTCGTGGGAACATATCAATATTCTTAACTGGACCTCTTTCAGATTCAGCCATATTTAGCAATTTAAAACTAGAGAGACTGACTCTCTAAATCATGTTTCCTTCCGATCTTTGCTTCGTTTACATTCAACACAACTGTGATACTGAATATTGACTCACCGCAAATTGTCTGGCTACACACTATTAGAGACTCTAGTCACGATAACAACTGAGGACTTTAAAACGAATTTCCGGTTTAGCATGAATCAGGACCTCTAGCAAGTATATAGCAGGTCATGTTCTCAGAGTGTATGCATTCCAAATCAATGAAGAACTACCCTGATATCCTTTACATCATCTTCTCTGGTCTCTGGTTGCGTGACTCACATCGATAACACAGATGCCTCGCGCTTCCTTGCTCAGTCACAATCACGACTAGGCCCTTCTCCCGACGACGCACGTCGTAATGGAAGTCATCGTCTCAATGCACGACCTGGAGTTTCTCGCCTTTCTTCATCGCGAGCTTTTTTACGAATGACACTAGATCCTTACCAACAAGCCACGTCCCAGGTCTCTAATTTTCCTTTCGGTTCACGAAACCCAGCTCAACCTGCGCCTCTCTTCTTTAGCGCCACAGATGATTTTCGTGACGAGGATGATGAAACAGAGCGGGAGCGCGAGATTGCGGACTTCTACGCCTTGCAAAGGTCACGGCGGCATTTTGGCAGCAGCCAACTCAGAGATTCTTCAGAGATTGGAGGGGATGGCGACAGTTCAACCAGTCTCGAGCGGCAGCCTCTTCAGGATGACAGATATGTCAAGCGCGGGAGGATCAGAAGCTCTTGGCGTGCCAGCAGTAAGTCTATGAACGGGCAAAGCGATCGTGCATTTGAGTCAGTTGCGATGACAGCCGATGATCGCGAAGGTCCCGACGAGGTCCGACAAAGTCGTAGTCTCAGAGGAAATTTGGTCGATATTCGTCTTGAAGATACATTGAGATCAGACGAGAACGTTGACAGGGCTGGGTCACTTGGGGGTCTTGATGATAGTCCTCCTTCCGTCCAGCTGTTCCGAGAACAAACAAGCTACGAGCCAAGAATTCTTGGTATAGAGACATTCCTCGGGCCGAGCGAGATGGATAAGCAACAACTGCTCGATGATCGTGACCCATCAAGCATAGCGGACTCTGGTCTTGAGCCTTTTTCACCAGGGGAGACGCAATCTGGGGCCCATGATACTTTCTGGGGGAAGCTCTTTCTGATCTCTCTGGGCTGCCTACTTGCTACCTCGTTTCTCAATTATTTGCACACATCTGCACCTTCAGGCGACAAATCGAGATGGGGTGACACGATATACCTCACTGTTCATGGATCCTTCTATCTTCTCGGCATCTACACGATGGTCTCAGTATTGATATCACTTCTTTGGTTGGTGTTACTGCGGTATTACGTGCGCTCTTTGGTCTGCGCAATGATCTTTGCAGTTCCTGTTATACTATACTCATTCTCGCTTTATTCCTTCATCTCAAGTTTCAAAGGAATCTGGCATGGGACTAGCATTCAGGACAAAGCCATGAGGGTTGTCTCTCTTGTGCCGTTCATCATCTCAAGTTTTTGGATATATAATGTTGTCCGGAGCCGCCATGCAATTGGCAAAGCCATCGACATTCTTGAATTCGCTTGCCGAATTCTTGCTGCGAATCTCGAATTATTACTCGTTGGCCTTGGCATCCTGACTTGTATTGTCTCCTGGACGTGGGTCTGGATGCTGATGTTCGCTCGAGTTTTTTTAGGTGGGCATATATCAGAATCACACGCTTTCGCCCTCAACGTCAGCAGCTGGTGGCTGGGAACCTACTTTGTCTTCGTTTACATCTGGTCATTGGGAGTCATCGCCGGTATTCAACGTTCAGTTACAGCTGCAACAGTGAGTCAGTGGTACTTTCACCGTCTCGCGACCCCCAAACCCACGTCTAGGCAGATTGTCCAGGCGGCTTTTGTCCATTCTGTCACAACACTGTTTGGCACAGTCTGTTTCTCTAAGCTGATAGCATTGTGTACTCGGCTGCCACTTCTGATGTTGCCGACTCGCCTATCTCGACTTCTGAATCTTTTCGTGTACACACTCGTTCCTTCTCCCCTCGCCGCGCTCACAGATCCTCTTACTCTCACTTTTGCCGCTATTCATTCTCAACCGCTCATACTATCCGCTCGTGGCCTCCTCGAAATGCCGAATGTCTCACTTGCGACGGCGATGTCGTCACTCCATCCCAGGTCATCTTCTCGGTTCCATGCGGGTTCAGCACCACTCCTCTCCTACCGCCTTTCGAAGCTCTTTCTCCACGCTGCTCGCTTCATGATGTCTTTGGCACTCGGTTTTGGAGGATGGGTAAGCGCTGCTCGGAACCTAGAGGTTCCCGGCCTGAGTAATGGAGCCCATGGCAGTATGTATGCCTACGTGATCGGACTCATTGCGGGTACCATTGGCTGGAGCATCCTAGGAGCAGCTGAAGGCGTCATCGCAGATATTGTGGATGCCTCGTTCATCTGCTGGAGTAGTGAAGTTGGTACTCGTGGTGGAGAAGCCCGGTATTGCCGCGAAGCTGGCTGGCTTTTCGGTGAACATTTGGCGAATGACCTTCGCCATGCATCCCATGCACGTCAGGCCGAGCCGTAAGCATTCTGGACAAGTGCTTCCTATCCATAACTGAACCCTCACTTGATCGCTCACTCCATATTCGAATTCAACCCTTCTAATGGGCCTCATTTCAACAACCGATATGATTAGAATTCCTAGATCATGACGCTCAGGTTTTTTTTTTTTTTTTTTTTTTTTTTTTCTCAAATCCGAGACTCTTGCATTTATTCATGCATGATTTGGAGATTGCATCACATCGTAAGTGCTTGGACTTGCATCTTCTCTTTTGAATTACCCGGTTTCCAGCTTTTCTTCTTTTCGCGCGTCGTCTTCGTAGGTGCCATGTTTTCAGTGGGAGGCCGCAATAATCAGCATAGACTACTCATCAGTGATGATGTGAAACAGATATTATAAGCCGTTGCAATGATCATTTCAGTGTGGGTGAAATAGTCTGCTCTCAAAATATTGTAGCAAATGCCCACAATATACAGAACCTTCCCATCTGATACAGGGCGTCCATAGCGCTACACATGTCGTTGTATACACATAGGATATTCGCATTGTCATAATTTAAGGAACCTATAAAACTGTGCAGTCTGTGCTATCCACATGTCTAATTTTGGAAAGACTCAAAACTCTGGTATCACGGCGCAACGGCAAACAGAAGATAGACTCGTTTAACGCCCGCTGGCTTAAATTGACCGACTCTCAAAGCAAAAAAAGCCAAACAGAAATCCAGGAAGGAAACAAATCACGGCTTGTAAGAACAACCATGGCAGAATAATCTGTCATTCTTTTCATAAATCAAGTCGACAGCTCCAAGCCACGCCTTCTTTCATACACCACTCTTTTAGAATCGCACACCCAAACCGAACAGTTTCCACAGGTGTTGATGTCTTCCCAGGTGGAAAAAGGAACTCCCCGGTATAGTCTCCGATCTTGAGCTTCTGCTTTCCCAGATGAGAATATCTTCTTGAGCGTCTAGACCAGGTGTCAGGAAATTCACGGGCAAGAATATCTTCTGAAAGGCCTTGCAAACCCTCGAGCCACAGTCTCTGGGACTCTTTGTAAAAATCAGGCAATCGGTTTTTTAACTCGATGAAATCTCTTCGATTCTTCTTGTTCTCATCTGATGTGACAGTAGTGCCGTCACTTCCTGGTGTGGGCACAGGAGTATGATCTCCTGGCAATGGAGTAATGGCGAGGCGTTCCAAATCGAGAGCGTGAATCGCATCATAAGACACAGCACCGAGAATTAAGCAGAGACTGTGGAGTCTCGGGTAAGGGGCACTGTTCTTTCTCACAACACGCCAATACGCGAGTATAGATAGCCAGGTCGATGAGTCGCCGACTTGACGGGCCAAAGCTTTAGAGTGATCATCAGCAACAAATGCGAGAATGAAACAAAGGACAGCCTCTATCGCCGTCACAACTGCAAGTTTTTCATCACCAGCAGTCATTGCATCTTTGTTGGTATGCCTCTCTGCAGCATGCTTCAACTCCCTACCCAAGTTTCCAAGTCTCTGGTATTCGTCCTTCCAAGCTCGACGTTCAGAGTTCCGCGACCGAGACCCGGGATTATCAGAATCTGCCGATGCTTGCTTCGCAGAGTTCACCTGGCTTCCCGGTTGATCTTTGGTGCAATAATATGACGTCGACTTCCCCGCGCTATGGAAGGTCTCGGTCCGAGGAGCAGAGTCCTTTGCATCCTTGGTCGGAGACCTCGTAAAGTTCTTCGGTTGATTTGAT